TCTTCTGGACAAATTCGCCAGCCAATAAGAAGCTAGCCAGGACAGCGCCACATTAGACAGTCGTTTGTCCTCTCTCTCTCCGGGAAGAAGCCTGCCTTTTTGAGACGTTGTTCGTTTGTTCGTTGCTTTTACCTCCGTAATTTCGTTCGAGTCACACGTGCTGTACAAAGTTAAATAAAGTGTTATATATATATACGTTCTAAATCCGTGTACGAGTCGTCTCCCTATACCTAGCGCTACACTGTAAGTTCTATGGTTACAGCCAAAAGGCCGGCATGTCCGCTCTCGGATCCTCTCTGGTTTTAACAAACGCATCGAAAAACTGAGTGGTTCGTAAAAAGATGAGAGGTATGATATCTAGATATTCGTCTATTCGAAGAAGCAGACATGCTGGATCTGTCAAAATCGGTTTATGGTTATGGTTATTCCGACAATTCCCAACAACGAAAGTTTCATCGTGCGATTTATGATCCACGTCAGTGGATCGCACGTGGGAGCGAATAGTGGACTCGACAAAATCTAGGCGTGGACGATGGGGTTGAATGATTGCGCGGACTCGGAGAGGGTGGGATGCGGCTTCAGCACGTTCAGGGAGGTGGACGAGGTGACCACCTTGATAGCGGAATTGAGACGGTCAGATCTGCAGGCGAGTCTCGTGGAGCGGAACCGGGATCGCTTCAATTTCATTCTCTCTCAGTATCAGGATCAGCACCATCTCCTCGATCCGTATCTTGAGAGAATCTTAGAATCCCTGCTGTCGATCATCAAGAACGACGATTGCCCGGAAAGCGTCAAACACAATACGTTTAAGTATCTCTTTATCATCATGTCCGTGAAGACGTACAAGAGGATTGTTACTTACCTCCCGCATGAGGTAGTCGATCTCTTGCCTGTGTTAAGGATGCTTGAGAAGCAGGATTCAAACGACGTGGAAACGTGGGAGACCAGATATGTTCTGCTCGTCTGGTTGTCCATCATCTCGAAGATACCGTTTCCGCTGTCTCGCCTAGAGACGTCCGAGAATGTAGATCCGGAGCAAACTATTATTGTCAGGTATCATTGATGCTCTTATCCTGTAATGAATCAACGTTTTGTTTAAAGATGACAGAAAATGTTGCTTTTTTTTTACTATTATGTATATTTTAGGATTTTAAAAGTGTGCAAACTGTACTGTCTATCGAAGGATGCGTGCGCTGTGGCGGCTGTATTTTTAATAGCAAACTTTTTAACACGATCGGATGTCAAGAAATTATACTTGAAAGAAATGATTATGTGGTGTTTAAAGGTATCACATTTCTCTTCAATGATATAAAATATTATTTAAGAATAACAAGAGTAAATAACAAATTTAGTATATTTTTTATTTATAAATTTTAAACATAATTTTATTTACAAAGAACAACTTTTTGTTTTACTTGTAAATTTTTTTTTAGTGTATAGAAGATGATCCTTTGAGACATGGACCTTTGGCTGTAATAGCCTCAATTTTAAAGCATAGTGCCAGAGAAGACGTCAAGCCATATAGTCAAATGCTTCTCGATAATATGTTGAAACTTCGACTAAGTGACAATCCAGCAGATCTTATTAGAAAATTTGGAATAAAGGTTGTCCAGCGTATAGGTATTTAGAAACTCTGAGATATGTTTTATTCCAATATATTTATTTCTTATAAATAAAAAATTGAAAAATGTAATATATATTATAAAACATTTTTTTACAATATTTGATAGGTCTGGTATTGTTGAGAACAAAATTAGCATCTTGGCGCTATCAGAAGACGAGTCGACCGATAAGTATTATGCCTAATGTTAAAGCAGATAATATTGATAATACCGAAAGTATTACTGATATTAAAAAAAGTATTTCGAATAATGACAATGAAGATCAGGAAATTCCTCCAGCGATTGAGGATATAATAGAGCAGCTCATACAAGGTCTTCGGGATAAAGCAATTACTATAAGGTATATATCATAAATGCCATTTTATGTGTTATTTATTAGAGATAATATTAAATTGAATATATACACACGCACGCACGCACGCACG